TTATTTTATCGTACAATAATCGTCGAATTCTACATTCTCTTTATCTCTCTCCACTACTCCCCCCTTCCACTCTCTTTCTCTCTCTCTTTCCTTATTAATTAATAGGTCCCTATTAATTCTTCTCGCTGTACACGTAGAGGTTAATCAACACATTTTGTCGCATAATTTATCGCGCAATAATCGTCGATTTCTATACTTCTTCCCCTCCCCCCTCGCTTTCTGTCTTTTTTACGAGAAATCCCTATATCTTCTCGCTGGACATGTAAAGGCTGATCCATTGAGCTGTATCAACTGAGAATGATAGAATTTTCAGTACCTCTGTGGCGGAAAGGAGAAGAAATTCAGAAGTTGAGCCTCTCATGAAACGAGAAAGTTGCTCCCACGTTTATAACATAGATCATGTTCTCGATATATGATTCTTAGACCATATCGAATATTGGAATCTAGCTGTGAGACCATATAAGCTATCACTTAAATTTTCCGAAGAGCAGAAACGTAATAAGTACATAATTTCACATTTTCATTTTCATTTTTCATTCTTCAGCAAGTCACGTGATCACTTAAGTCATCAAGTTCATTTGGAATTTTGCACTTTTCACGTTTCTGCTTAGGTAAGACTTACAAGAGAATTTGACGAATCGATTAATTACTGATCTCGCTTTGATCCCAATTGATTAAGCTTTAATAACTAGTCTGATACGTCCTTCTCACGTGGCGGCGAATAATTATTGAACAGCGGTTATTTCGGGAAATGTTCTACTGATTTTTGAACTACACACGATCGGAATACCATTTATCAAAAAAATCTTGAATGCAATACGGTTGGATCGCGTGTCCTCCGAAATCGCTTCCGGCTTCGAGAATATCACAGACTCATCGAAACTGGATTCTGGATCTCCGACAGTGAGTGTCGCGCGAGATCTATTTGCTTCAGCTTCATTCTGATGTGCTGCTGAGGTCGTATCACGACCTGCGACCTGTTTGTTATTAGGCCAGCCGCTATCGTAAACGACAGGAATTTATTCTTCTCGATCATGATGTGACTCACCGAGTCGGTCTGAAATCAGAAACGGGCAAGGAGGTATTAGCGATAATACCTCTCTAAGGTTACTACTCCTTTAAACAGAATAACGTTTTCGCTAACGGTCCGTTCATCTAGTTATATTAATTATTAAGTGCTTGCAAAAGTGCGTGAGGTCACAAATAGATGACTGACTGTAGCAGCAATTTAATAATTGTTTTCCTTTAAGTTAATTTTTAGTTCTTACATGTTGATCATATTGCATCAGAATTGATGGTTGACAATTATCATAGTTTCGAACAAAACGTCACATTAGCACGATTGAAGATGGAACCAGATAAAGTACACCACTACTTTAACTGAGATGAAACATGAATGGATTATCTCAAAATATGAGTCATTGAATCGACACGGGATCAAACTTTTGTCTAAAAAATGACAAAAAGTTATTAATAGCAACGGACAATATTTTGATTAAAATATTACGAGTCATCTTATTGCTATTGATAAACAAAAATAGCTTAAATATCATACGAACTTGTGGGAGTACTTAATATAAAGAGTTTTCGCGGACTAGACTCGCGTCTCTATTTCCGAATATTAGAACACAATTAACGTTGGAAGCTACTAATAGTTTCACCTTACCGCTCACGATCGGACAAAATCCCATCGTAATATTTCAATTGATAATCGTACCATATCCATGTAGATTTCCTCATCGCCGCGGTCGTAATCTCCCTCATTTCTGAAGAAGTAGATCGTTCTTTGCGGACAACTCTTAGGCTGTCGCAACTTCTGCACGTGGAACTTCTCGTCCAAAGTTCGCGCGGGCTTGTCGTTCGTCGACACAAATTGGATCTCAAAGTCCTGACCTTCCATCTCGCCCTGCTTGGTGGCACCATTCTTCTCGACCGAATCGTCCTTTTCATCATCGTCATCGTCATCGTCCTCCTCTTCACTGCTATCATGAATGAACCTGACGTCGACCTCGCAGCTATTCATCGTCGAGTTCTCCACGATGGTGAATCGGTCGCGCCGTTCCAACGCCTCGAAACCGATGTTCAACTGGCTGACTATGGCTCTGATCATGTCCAGCTGCCATCTGGGAGTATTCTTGGACACCACTAGGTTTTGGATACCCCTCGGGTTGAAGCGGATCTCGAAAGGTTCCTCGCCTACGAATCTCGTCCCCGTGGGCACAAGGTCCATCGCGCTCGTGCAATTGTTTTCCTTCAGGCCGGGATGCCGGATCCACGAGTTCTGGAAGTGGCAGCTCAGAGAGTCCTGTCCTTTGGGTCGGCACTTAAGATCGGACTTGATCTCAGAGCAGAAAGATTTGTCCGCCGGGGCGATGTTCGACAGAGACATTATTACGAAAACATCGTATGTGCACTCGCCACCGTACATGTTCCATTCCGATTGCCGGCTGGGGTCGACGGTGACCTGCGCGGCTAAAATAACGGCGAAAGTATAAGATCACGGCTGATATAAAATGATGACAAACCGGTCGTCAGATGAGGATCGACTCCGAAAACACGGGTGTTTTATTTCACTCCCGTTACTTACTAATTAATTATTTATCCCCGGGGACTCATATGGCGGTGATAAACGCAAGTTTCGCAGGAAAACCGAGAGGACGACCGATCGATCGACGTTTCGCTTCACATTCGCTTCGAAGTAATTTCCGCCGTCTACATATTTGTCAAGCGATTTATAAATTGAATTAACCCGTAAGTTAACGCGTGTGGGTCAAATTGACTCATAGAAGAACGAACAAACGAATGTTTCCGTTTACGTCTGCGACATTGGCGCTTTCAATAACTTGCTTCTACTACTTACTGTTGAATTTAGCGAAGTAGCGTCAATAATACTAAAAAATCTCGGTTATAAACAACAGTGGTTTTATCCGTCAAAAAAGTTCTGCTCTCGCTTATGGGTTAACTATGCTTTTTTTTCGATCATTAATTTCTGCGAATAAATAAAATTATAGCACGCAAGTTTCCGAACAAAATTTCGAAATCCCGAGGTACAGGCAAAGTAAATGGATTGTGAATAAAAAAACACCGAAAGGAAACGCAAATGGCGTGATAAACGACTGTTGTGAAATTCTAAGGACGTACCCAAGAAAAACGGCAAGATTGTCACTAACATGACCGACGTTCCGCGTTTGACTGATGCTTCTACTTGTTATCCGTCTTCTCTTTATAGTTTATACGAATAACTCGATTCATACGTCATACGTGTGTGCGAGTCTGAATCTAATTTCGCTAAGTACAGTTTCCGGTCATGATCCTGTAGATATCTTACATGATGACTCGACTGTGTCGTTTTTGTGCTTAGGTAATATTGCTTTAATAACGTGCATTCTCTGTAATCGTCTTGCAAGGTTTTCGACGTAATTGACAAATTGTTGCCGTTTATAATGTCATTTATTTGTATTCGTTAACACGGAAATGGATCTCCCATATGTGAATGAAGATTAAAACACAACACATTTTGTCGCATAGTTTATCATATACTAATCGTCGGTTTCTACATTCCCCCTTTCTCTCTCTCTCTTTCTTTTACGAGAAACCTACCAATTTCTCTATATTTATTAGATGTACAAATTAATTCGATGCTTTTTTTCATGAAATTCAAAGTTTATTTACAAAAAATCAAGTACAAGTTTAATGTTCAAAATAATTCCCATTATTTTCTATGACTTTGCTCCATCTATCAGATAGCTGATGAATGCCCTCATGGAAAAAACTTGGTGGTTTTGACTCACGAATACTTTTTCGTCAACTATTTTAAAATGCGTATTCGCCAGATGATGTTAAAGTAACTAAAATAGATGGTAATCCCATAGGGCTAGATCTGACGAATAAGTCGCATGAGAGAGAATTTCCCAGTCCAATGTATAGATGAGATCCTTCGTCCCTTTTGCAGTATTTAACTGCGCGTTAACGTGCAACACAATCACCTGCCTAGTTCCATTGCCGGTAAAAGGTCTTTTTACAAGTTTTATGGGTCACAATATCTTCACCCAAAACGAAATAAATTCGATAGACTGAACAGCATTTTTATTCAATTAAAACGCAAAAGGAATGCAGTGCCTCAGATGTTTCTTTATATCATGGACGATATCGTAATAACTACTACTTTCTGAGGTTATATCGACAAGACTGTCAACTATTATAGTGCTTCTTAAAGCTTAAAGTTAGCACTTTCAAATCACCATATAGGACGGAGAATTTAAATGTGAACCAGAGTTACAGGGCATTAAATGCAAAAGCACCGAATTCATTTGTACACTTAATATATTTATGTATATGTATGACGTGAATGATTTTATATAAAAAAATTGTTCTGAGAAGCACCTCAGAGATGTCTCAAAGATATCTTGCCTGTTTCTGACATCTTCAAGATGTCTCTAAGATATATTTTACACATTTATTTGGTTCGGGATGAGATATTTTTTGAATATCTTATACGGAGGCATTTTCAGAATTTATTCATTAGAATATAGTAATAATATTTAAAAAAAAGTTTAGATATATTTCTTATATATATTTCTTATATACACAATTCAATATATCCCGCAGATTTACATTATTGTATGGGATATGTTTTTCCCTTCGTAGCGAAGAAGAGTGTTGAATTGAACAGCGTTTATTTCAGGAAACGTTTTACTTATTTTAGAACGGCGCACGATTGAAATCTCATTTTTCGTAAATTTGTATCTTTAATGCAATACAATTGGGTCACGCGTCTTCCGGAATCGTTTCTAGGCTCGAGAATGCGAACAGGCTGGTCGAAGCTGGATTCTGGATTTCCGGCGGTGAATTTCGCGCAAGATCTATTCGCTTCAGCTTCAGGACGATGTTCTGGTGAGGCCGCATTACATGTGATTTGTTCGCCATCTTCATTACGCCCGCCGACATTGTTAATGACTTGAATTTATTCTTCGTGATCATGATATGACTCGTTGAGTCCGTCTGAAATCGGAAACAGACAAGGAGATATTAGACAAACGTCTCTAAAGTTACTATTCGTTTGAAAAGAATAAAGTTTTCTCCAATGGCCCATTTGTCTAATTATATTATAATATAAATTATATAATATTGCGTGATATTTAATTATATAACTTATATATACATATAATATTATAATGTAATATCACGCAATATTATGTAACATTTTATAATTATATATTATATTATAAACATTATATAATTTACACATATTAGGAATATAATTATTATATAATATATAAATTATATAATACGGTTGTCTTTGGAGATTGTATCTTCGTCTCGATTTCCGAATATTACAACACACTTAACGTTGGAAGCTACAAATAGTTCCACCTTACCGCTCACGACTGGACAAAATCTCATCGTCGTATTTCAATCGATGATCGTACCATGTCCATGTAGAGTTCCCCATTGCCGCGACTGTAATCCCCTTCATTCCCAAAGAAGTAGATCGTCCTTCGCGGGCACCTCGTAGGCTCTCGAATCTTCTGCACGTGGAATTTCTCGTCCAAGGTTCGCGCGGGCTTGTTGTTTGTCGACATAAATTGGATCTCGAAGTCCTCACCCTCCTTCTCGCCCTGCTCAACGGAACCGTCCTCATGCTCGTCATCGTCGTTCTCTTCACTGCTATCATGAACGAACTTGACGTCGACCTCGCAGTAACCCATCGTCGAGTTCTCCATGATGGCGAATCGATCGCGCCGTTCCAACACCTCGAAGCCGATGTTCAACTGGCTGACTATGACCTTGATCATGTCCAGCTGCCATCTGGGAATAGTCCTGTGCACCACCAGGTTCTGGATACCCCTCGGGTCGAAGCGGATCTCGAAGGGCTCCTCGTCAATGAACCTCGTCCGCGTGGGCACGGAGCCCATCGAGTTCGTGCAATTGCCCTCCTCCGGGCCGGGGTGCCGGATCCGCGAGTTCTGGAAATGGCAACTCAGAGAGTCCTGTCCCTTGGGTCGACACTTGAGCTCGGATTTGATCGAGGAGCAGAAATTATCGTCCGCCCGGGTGATGTTCGACAGAGACATCATCACGAAAACGTCGTAAGTGCACTCGCCACCGTACATGGCCCATTCTGACTGCCGGCTGGTGTCATCGACGGCGACCTGCGCGGCTGGAATGATGGAGAGATAACCGGCGGAAATATAAGATCAAGGCTGACGTAAGATGATGGTGAGCCGGTCGGCAGATAAGGATCAGTTTCAACGACGAACGACTTATTTTACTCTCGTTACTTAATTATTCATCATCGGGACTCATATAGCGGCGGTAAACACACGACTGCTTTCGGAGGAAAATCGAGAGGGCGAACGACAAATCGACGTTTCGCTTTTCGTCCTCTTCGCGATAATTTCCACGTCTATATAATTGTCAAGCGATATTTAAATTAAATTAACTATGCTTTCCTTTTTGATTATTAATTGTTGAAATAACAATTTCTTCGAGTCAATAAAATTGTAACGCCCAAATTTTCGAACAAAATTTCGAAACTCTGTGGCAGGTGCAAAGTAAACGAATCGTGAATCGAAAGAAAAGTTCGAAACAATCGCACTGATATGCGACTGTTGTGAAGAACCAAGTTCCGAGAACGTACCCAAGAAATACGGCAAGATTGTCACTAACATGGCCGACGTCCAGTGCTTGACTGATGCTGCTACTTGTCATTTGTCTTCTCTTTATACAGACCGATAAGTTAATTCAAACGTGTCTCCTTGAAAATAATTTCGCTAAGTACCGTTTCCGTCCAGATCCTGTAGATATCTTCCGCGATATTGATAACGCGGCAGATTTGCCTTTGTACTCAGGAGTGCTGTGACAATGCGCGCTCTCTGCAATTGCCCGGCAAGGTTTTCGACGTAATTGATAAATTATTGCCGTTTGTCATGTCGTTTATTTGCGTTCGTTAACGCGCCATGGAAGAAAATGTCTCACACACGACGGGAGACAGAGACAAACGTTTTGTCGCATAAGAATTTTACTATACAACAATCGTCGTTTCCTACTTTCTATTTCCTTCACGAGAGATTGCTAATCCTTCTTGCTGTATATGTAGAGGCTGATGGTCGTTGCATCTTCTGGGAAGGGCTCTAATGGCTTTTCGGCGGGCAGTACGGAAACGAGGTTTATGCTGATCTTCTCGTGTAATGAGAAGGTCATCCTGTAGCTGCTGAAATTGATCATGTTTTCGGTATATGAGTCGAAGCACGTGTCAGATATTTCCATCCGATTACCCGACGATACCTAAAACAGATCGGGAAATGAAGGTTGCATCATTATTATCTCTGATACCATATGATAAATTATTATATCAAGTTGATCGAAGAAGTTCCATCCAATTTTCGGACTTTTTTTTAGTAGTAAGTCGGCTATTTTCTGTGAAAGAGATCATTTATTGCTGCGAAGACGTTAGCAGATCACTCACAATAACTATCACATGCCTCCATTGAACGCGATAAAATAAAATTTGACTCAATTTCAAATTTCGTAATAAAATAAAATTCGACAATATTAAATTTGTGACTGAAGTAATTTAACCCTTCGTGTCTCGAATTTTTATATCGGACCGATTTTTTTGAAACTCAGTATCCAGGGATTTTTCGGGTCGCTGATTACGAATCGGAAGTCAGAATTTTAAAATTCAAAATGGCCGATCCAATATGACGGTCCAATATGACGGTCCAATGATTCAAAACTTCTTTGTTTATAAAAATTTGAAAATTCTTACCTTAGATTAGGATTCAGTGACTCAAAAAAACCTCAGAACAGTGTTATAAAAGATATTTATTTGGATTTATAGTAAGAAATATTGATTTTTCCATATTTTTCAAAGATTGCTAATTTATAATAAAAAAATAACAGTGAAAAAATCTGAAACAATTCTGAAAAATATTTTAGTGTCTTAAATAATAGTGTCCTAAATTTCCGCTTCAATATTGATAATATTTTAGTAGAAAATGCATTTTTTTTCAAAAAACCACAAATTTGAACTGTTTTCAGAAATTATACCAATAATAAATTTACAATTTTCTATCTTTTTACATATGTTCATACACTAAAGACACTACGTAGACAAAAATCCGGTACTTAAAATCAAGAAAAAATTCGTCAAAATAATTAAAACTGAGCGAAAAATGATGGGACTCTGGGAGTCCTACCATGTCGTAAAGAGTTAAACAAATTCAAATTTGACGATAAAATGAAACTTTACAATTTTAAATGTGATTATTTGAACAAATGGTAGCAAACTTTCCAACCATCTGGACACAGATCACACGATAAGGAAGCATGATTACGAGATTGCGAGACGATATGAAATTCGCTATGTTACATTCGGGAAACACACAAATGAGTATTGATTTTCTCTTACTATCTGTAGCTCCGCATTACGTTCCTGCCCGTCTATTATGTGATTCCATTTGTCTGTGCAATTTTCCAGGTTCCTTGTCTTATCGATCACCAGCATCTCTCCCCGTTTCTTCTCAAGGCCGGGCATGGGCACAATCTCATAGTCCTCTTTTTCCGGGAACTCGTTACCTTGAGCCACGCGGGAAATATTCACGAGACATTCAAATTCGCCGATGTAGGTGCTTTCCGTGGCCGCACCGTCTGGCTTGCGCAGCAAGTCCACGCCGAATCTCATCTGACTTACGGAACGCTCGCATCATATTGAGGTGCCAGGAATCTATCTCCCGGAGGATCACTAAGCTCCCCGACGATCGAACTTGATATCAAATGGCGCTAGGAACCAATTGTCTTCGTTTCTATGCGCTTCAACCAAGTCCTGATATATCGTGATATATGTTAGCAGTGTCGAACTGACAGTGCAGCGTTTCGAAATCTCTCGGACGGCACTTGAGCATAATGTGCATTTGGTGGAAGTTCATCAGAACGCTGGATAATCCCTCCAGCATAGTCGAATTAGAATCTAAGACAAATGCGTACTCCATAGCGCCAGGTGCCCGTAGGAACGCGACTGACTGCAAGAGGGTGCGTGTGTGTGTTGTGTAACGAAATAGAAAATATATTTTTGTCACATTTTTATTTAATCATAATCGATATTTCTCTAGTCGGAAGGAGGGTCCAGTTAAATATTTTGAGTATATGAACATTTCTTACAAAATTATTTTTTAACTAGGCTTTTTGATTTTAACCCGACATATGCGAGAATATATTATTCAAAAAGGAACTTTTATCCCGAGGAAGCGAGCTCGATTAAAGCGAAGGGGAGACCCTTCTTTCTTTCATGTACATTATCTTTCGTATCGAATCAGTAAGCGTGCGGAACGATATTGCGTTTTGATTACAAGATGAGTATTAAATTCTTTCGTTGACTCACGACTTTCAGATTCATGCTATGCGACATACGCAGAAAAAATGGCAACAGCACAAACGTTTACATGGCGCCGGATAATGCCGAACTGGTTTGAAAATCTCCTCACGTCGGACTCTTATAAGCACACAGTCTGGCACGATTCGTTAGCGCTTGATATAATGAACCGCGTCTGCGTCTTTACGTGCGCGGTAACGATGCGAAATAACTCGCGGTTAAGTGACATCTTTTACGAGGAATTTTATAGACGTCCAAGTGAATCGGTGCCTACAACACGTGCGCGTCGGTGACATTCACAGAATGTCTCTCTTCACTCTCATCGATTTAACCAATTGTAATTGGTTAAATCGATTCTGTGAATGTCACCGACACGCATGTGTCGCAGACACCGATTCACTTGGACGTCTATAAAATTCCTCGTAAAAGATGTCACTTAACCGCGAGTTATTTCGCATCGTTACCGCGCACGTGTAACTCTTGTAAATTAAATGTAAATCTTGTAAATTAAAATCGTGTTATCGTTGATAATTCTGATGTCACTATTAAGGTCTAACGCACGTTTAACGTCAACGACGAGAACACTCGAGTTTTGTTTACGGCTGCAACGATTCTCGTTCAACATGTATAAACGAAATCTCTATTACTTAGAACAGAAGATTTCACATCGGTATGAGTCCTCAGGATTTAGGACAGGTTTGACACACGATCGCGCGTATATGTACATGTGGTGATTTATTTATAATAAATCGCTGTCACTGTAGTTAGAAAAAGTAGAATAACCAATGATTAAAATTGAAGGAAATGTAAAATATAAAAGATATTTATTACTCAGTTACCTCCTACACGAAAACTATGTATTCATCATATTAATTACCGAAGAAAACATTGTGCAACAATATTACGTAGGAAAGGGAGGAGAAAGAAAGGGATAATTATTGCTACTTGTGTCATTTATTTGCATTCGTTAACACGCCAGCACGGAAGAAAATTTCTCGCACGCGACGGAAAACTGAATTACAATACATTTTGTCGTTTAATAATTTTGTCATACAATAATTGTTTCTATTTACTCTCTCTCTTTCTTTTTTTTTCATAAAAAATCCCTAATCCTTCTCGCTGTATACGTAAGGGCTGACGGTCGCTGCATCAGTTGAGAAAGGTTGTAATATCTCCTCGGCGGGACGTACGGAGATGAGATTCATGCTGATTTTCTCGTGAAATGGGAATATCATTCCCATGTGTATGACATTGACCATGTTCTCGGTATACGAGTCATATTCCATGTCGGATATTTCAATCCGACTGCGCGATGACACCTAAATTAGACCGGAGAATTAAAAATATTGCCATCATTATCATCATACGATAAATTACAATATCAGTCGGGTAAGTTCGAAAAAGTTGTTTGTTTTTTTTTTTTAATAATAAATGGACTACTTTCTGCATAGGAGAGATCTACCTACTGCCACAATGTTGGCGGACGGTCATAGACTGCGATCACGTTGCTCCCATTAAATGCGATAAAGTAATTTTGACAATTTTACATATTTAACGGTAAAATAAAAACTGACAATCTCAAATTCGATAATGAAGTGAAATTTGACAATCTCAAATTTAGCGATGAAGTAAAATATGATAATTCGAAAAATCAAAGTGAACCGTCCGATTGAATCAGTACAGCCCACGTGAAAAAAAAAGAAACGCGAATGCGGGGTGATGCAAACTTCGCGGTATTGCGTACTAAGTTCGCAAGCGAGATTCTATTTTTTCTCACCATCTGCGTCTCCATGTGACGTCTTGTGTCGCCCGTTATCACGTAATCCCTCTTGTCTATGCAATTTTCCAGATTCCTCGTCTTCTCGATTACCAGCGTCTCGCCATGTTTCTTCTTAAGCCTGATATTTCCTGAGACCATTGGCACAATCTCATAGTCCTCCCTCCCTGGGACCTCGTTACCTTCAGCAATGTGGGAGATGTTCACAAGACTTTCGCATTGTCCGATATAGGTATTCTCCATAGTCGTGAACGCACCGTCTAGCCGCAAGTCTACGCCGAAGTTCATCTGGCTCACGAAAGCTCGCACCATATCGAGGTACCAGGCATCCATCTCCCGGAGGATCACTAAGTTCCGAATTCCCCGCTGATCGAACTTAATGTCGAAGGGCGCGTGGAGCCAACTGTCTTCGTCTTCGTGTACTTCAATCGGGTCACGATATATCGTTATGTTAGCAGCGCAGAACTGACAATGCAGCGTTTCGAAATCTCGCGGACGACACTTGAGCGTGCTGTACACCTGGTAGACGTAGAAGTCGAGTATGGAACGTCCCTGCAGAGTAGTCATGTTGGCGTCCATCACAAAGGTGTACTCCGGTCCATGGCGCCAGGTGTCTACGTCCGTGGGGACGCGACTGACTGCAAGAGGTAAGTAGCAAAATAGAAAATATATTCTCTTGTTACATTTTTATATTATTTTAATCGAAAATTCTTTGTTCGGAAGATACGTTCAGTTCAATTTCTGGGGAAGGAAAATCATTTCTTACAAAATTATTTCTCAACCAGATATATGCGCGAGCTTTTTATGATTAATTCGATATATTCGAGAATATATTTCTCGGCAAAGTATTTTTATCCCTCTTTTAATTTGAATTATCTTGTGCGTAGAATCGGTTGCTATGAGTAATATATCCGAACAATGTTTCACTTTAATATAAGATAAATCGTAAATTCTTAGTAAAATATTTAAACAAAAGGGAGCAAATTAAAATCAAACGCAATTTTATGCATAAATAATACAATATTTCAATATGAAATGATTGTATAAAATAATTATACATTTAAATTCTTAATTCCTTCATAAATTTTTTAATCTCTCACAGCTTGCCGATATATATGCATTCGACATGACTTACGTAGGAAGAATGGCAGCAGCACGAACGTTTCCATAGCGCCGAATAATGCTGAACTGGTTTGAAAATCTCCTCACGTCAGCCTCTTATACGCACACGTCTGGTACGATTCGTTAGTGTTTGATATAATTAACTGCGTCTGCGTCTTCATGTGCGCGGTAACGATGCGAAATAACTCGCGGTTATGACACATTTTACAAGGAATTTAGGCGTCCGAGCGAGGCAAGGTTATCATGTCGTTGATTCTTTACTAAATATGTTATTCTAATTATTATATTAAGTGTGACAAGGAGCGTCACTGGTCATGCACGTTTACCAGCGACAACTACGACAATATTCAAGTTTTGCTTACAAATAGTTATAACAAACCTTATTCAACATATACGAATAAAATCTTGCATATTTAAAATAGAAGATCTCTAGTCGGTAAAATGTTTCTAGGATTTACTGACAATCCCCGCACGCGTATGTGTGTTTGTGTGTCGCAATTTATTTAAAATAAATCACAGACAGCGCAGTTACAAAAAAGAGAATAATTATTAATTAATTATTTCGTGATAACGAAGAAAAAGTAAAATGTAAAAAATAATTACGCATTATTGAATTATTTCCATAAACACTTTACGTTCATCGTATTAATTATTGAAAACAAATTTGGCAATAGTATACAGGGTGAGAAAAGGAAAGAAAAGTTTAATGCCATTAGTATGTCGTTTATTTGCGTTCGTTTACACATCAGCACGGAAGATCTCTCGCACGGGATAGAAAAAGAGATACGACACATTTTGTCGTTTAGTGATTTGATCGTACAATAATCGTTTTTATCTACTCCCTCTCTCTCTTTCTCTCTTCCTTTCTTTTTTTTATAACATAATCGATCTCTCTACATACGCATGTAAATTGACAGTCACTGTATCTATTTTTGACAAAGGCTATAGTGCTCTCTCCGCAGGATGTACAGAGGCGAGTTTCATGCTGATGTTCTCGTGATACGAGAATATTTCTCCCCTTTTTGTGATATTAGCTATGTTCTCAGTATACGAGTTATAATCGATATCGGTTATTTCAATCCAACTGCATGACGATATCTAAAATAGACCATGAAATGAAGAATGCATCATTATCATTGAATGTCACAAGATAAATTATGATATCAGATTGGTCAAAAAGTTCAATTTTCTGTCTTTTTTAGCGATAAGTCGGCTTCTTTCTGAAAGAGAAATCTATGCTGCCAAAACGTTGTCAAACGGTCACTGACAATGGCAACGGTCATTTGCATCCGTTAAACGTGGAAAATTAAAATTTGACAATTTCAAAGTTGCCGATGGAGTGAAATTTGACGATAACGTTGAATATAATAATTGAAAAGTTGAAATTGTAATAGTTGAAAAATCAAAGCGAATTATCCGATTGATTTAACACAGATCACGCCGTATATAAACGTGATAGGATACAAAATTGGCGGTATTGGACGTGCAAAATTCGCAAGTAAGTTTCTACTTTTCTCACCAAATGAAGATCCATATTCCTTTTATTGCACAATATTATGTAATCATTTTGGTCTAAGCAATTTTCCAGATTCCTCGTCTTCTCGATCGCCAGCAGCTCGCCTCGTTTTTTCTTGAGACCGATCTTTTTTTCGACTACTGGCACAACCTCATAGTCCTCCTTCATCGTGACCTCGTTGCTTTCAGCAATGCGATTGATCACAAGACTTTCGCACTGGCGGTTAAAAAATGCCTTCCTCGCTCGTGAACTCATCGTTCGGTTTGCTCAGAAGCCCCACGCCGAAGTTCATCCGATTCACGAACGCTCGCACGTTGTCGAAGTACCCGGGTTTCATTTCACGCGGGATCGTTAATCTCCGAATTTCCCGGGGATCGAACTTGATGTAAAAGGGTAAGTGAGAAGAACTATTCTTGTCTTTGACCTCAGCCAGGTCCTCATATATCGTTATGTTTGTAGCGCCGAACTGACATTGCAACGTTTCGAAATCCCGTGGACGACATTTGAGCATTCCGTACACCTGAAAGATGGGGAAATCGATCTCGGCACCCTCCACAGTCATATTGGCATCTATCGTAAATGTACACCGGCCCATGGCGCCAGTTGTCCGTGCCCATAGGAATGCGACTAACTGTAAAAGGTACGTGTCGTACCGAAACAGAAAATATATTCTTATAATATTTTATAACAATCGTAATCTCTCTGATCGGAAGGAAAGTTCAGTTCAGTTGTTTGAGTAAGAAAATCATTTCTTACAATTATTTCTTAAAATTTCTTAAAATTATAATATTTTATAACCAGTTATATGTGCAAATATTGTGTGACTGATTCGATATATTCGAGAATATATTTTCCAGTAAGGCATTTTTGTCCGAGAGAATAAGTTTATTTAAAGCGAAAGAAAGAGGAACTGGAGTCTCACATTTTTTAATTTACATTACTTTCTATATAGAATCCGTCAATATAAGTAATATTTGAACAAATTGCATTTTGATATAAGATAAATGATTAATTATTGATAAAATAATTAATCAAAAAGGGATAACTAAGAGCCAAACGTATTTCTATACTCGGATAATACCATGTCAATATTTCAATGTGAAAACACTACATAAAATATTTACAAATATATATTACAATTATATATATATACAAATATATATATTCTGCATTCATCCGTAAATTTTTAAATTTCTCGATAATTTGCAACTTGTTGATTTATGCACATTCGACATGACTTACGTAGGAAAAATGGCAGCAGTACAAACGTTTCCATAACGACGAGTAATGTTGAACTGGTTGAAAATTCCGTCACATCGGCCTCTTATAGCACGATTAGTTAATACTTGATATAAGCAAGTTCGTCTGTACTCTTACTTGTACGATAACGAAGTAAAATAATGCGCGATTAAATCACATTTACGAGAAATTTCAAAGACGTCGTAGAAGGTCGGTCCGCGAGATATGACGTAACATTCACAGAATCGATTTAACAAATTATAACTCTCGCAAATTTGGACTGGGTTATCATATTATTGATAACCTGAAAATTCTAATGTCTTTCGGATTATTAAACTCTGTTATTCTAATTATGTAAATGTGGCAAAAAGCATCATTGGATAAGCAGCAAAACTTTAACTAACAGCAACGAACAGAACATTCAAGTTTCGCTTATGAACAGTTATACCTGTTCAACCTATATGAATGAAATCTCGAGTATTTCAGATAGAAGAGCTTATATCAGTATGAGTTCCTAGGATTTACTGACATGATATCTTTAGAATGTCTTTTTGATGTCTTTCGAACATTTGTGCTATATGAGACGTGACTTACGTAAAATGGCAGCTGCATAAACGTTTCCATAAAATTGGATAAGGCCGAAACTGGTTTGAAAAGGATGATCTCTTCACGCCTTCATACGCACATGTTTGGCATAGTTCTTTAACGTTTGATGTAATCGACTGTATCTATGTCTACACATACATGGTAACAATGTGAAATAACGTGCGGTTACATGACGTACTTAACGAGAGATTTCGTTGACGTCCTGGCGATTCGGTCCGCGAGACGTCACATTCACAGAATCGATTTAACAAATTGTAAATCTCGCAAATTGAAATCGGGTTATTATGTCATTGATAATTCTTATGTCACTCAGACTGTTGAGCCATGTTCTTCTAATTATGTAAGTGTAGCGCAAAGCGTCACTCGACATGCACGTTTAACTAGCAACAACACTTAAGTTATCCCTTATAAACGGCCGTAACGAACCCCGTTCAACAGATATGAGTGAAATCTCAAACGTTAAAAACAGGAGACCTCGAATTTGTACGAGCTCTCAGGATATATTGACGCGTTTTCAGCGTGTGCGTGGCAGTTTATTTATAACAAACCAGTCGTCAGTGCGGTAATAAAAGATTAACAGTCTCGTGAAAGTGAGAAAAATGTGAAATTATTCATTACTTAGTTATTTCATCCATGAAAACTTTGCATTCGTCATATTAATTATAACCAAAAAAATCTGGCAACACAGTACGCAGGGAAGAGGAAGAGAGAGAGAGAGAGAGAGAGAGAGGAGCATGATTGTGATATATAATTATTTATTTCTCACGAAGTTCGCTGTCTTTTATACAGTATCATATAGGTGACGAGATTTCGGGTGACAATTTTTCCGGCTTATTAAATGCGAAAAACGCATCGTCGCCTCGAGTCATACGTGTTAAGTAAAGGTGGAAATTGAGCGGACCGCGCGCGCGTGTGCTGATAGAGAAAAATGAAGCGTCCGCGAAAGGACATTGTTTCTCAGGTGTCATTGTTGCGCAACGTGCGTGGGTATCTCCCCCGATTTTGCGCCTCACAAACGAACTTGTACGAGCACATTGCTGCACTGACAACGCGCGACAGTGTGTTTCCGATAAGCCTAATTGTCTTCCTCGGACAAATCGGCGATCAACCACCTGCCAATGAAGATGCTGACGGGCTCGGCTTCCGTCACCGGTGGCGGCTCGCTCTCGGCTGGTCGAATCGATATCAGCTTCAGCCGCACGTTCTCATAGAGTATCGTTACCACCCCCTCGGTTATTTTGCTCGTCGTTATTTCGCTTGATGTGTCGGAAACGAAGTCGGTCGACGTCACGAAGATGTTATTGTCCAACAAGCTCTGCAACAGGTCGAAGGGAAAAGTCAGACTCGAATGCTCGTCGTATGAGCGATTAAACGCGCGGACACTGTGCTTTGCTGATAATAAAATACAGCATCCGTTACTTCAATCAATCAATCAATTGACATCCAATCTGTTCGATCGGAACGCTACGACATTCGCCCCGTGTGTCTCATCTGATACTTTCAGTTGTGACATCTCGGATTTCAAGTCGTGTATTAGTGAACTTTAAACATCATTGATACACAAATCAGTGGACGCTGTAATTAACCGTCACAATTAATTATGACGTAATATAATAACTTCCGTATATGAGTCGTTTATTTGAAAAGTGTTGCAAGTCCTTCTTCCGTTCATTTCTTTTTCTCTTTCGCATCGGGCGGAGAGAAATTACACTGGTCAACATAAAAATTATATCCTGGATCTAAACCGTCAATTCTAGTTGATTTTGACGTTCATCACAAATGTAACAATTAAAGTCAAAATTTACTTCTAATTTTCATTATATGGTAAGCAACAATCGAAAGAGAATTTGATATTTAAGGCTTTCGTGGTGTGAAGAAAATGAGATATATTAAAAATCGTCTCTTTCGAAGCTAATTCTTTACTTTGAGATGGTGTACGTGGCAGTCCTGTAAGAATTTATGAATGAAACATGTGTTTTAACTTTCTATAGAAAGATAGAAAATATTTCTATTTTGCGTTGCAACATTCTTTATTTCAACACTGTTAAAACATACCTAATACTCAAAAGGAATTTTAATTCTTCTAACAGTATAAAACGTAAAAACAAAAAAATTACAGTAAAAAAATATCTTTGTTGTTTTATTCTTATATATCTAATACTATCAATTTACAAAAATTAAAACATAGCCTATATTTCTTCAGCTATAGCTGAATAAGTTTTTCAATTGTCATTTTCTGTTTGAATACATAAACGTACGTAGAAAGGACTGAAATTCAAAAAGGATACAATTTACGATACGAAATTTGTTGACCAGTGTCATAGATTCGTGAGCGAAATTAATTTTTCATCCGAAACTGGGCTTGCACCGATTTAAAAGAACAGTGCCAGCTGACTTGCACCGATCGAAAAGTGAAACGACTCAGCGATGTACTTACGACATCCGACATGATATCGCTGACTTCTCTGACGCTCTCGGCGCTGCCGAAGTAGTACGGCACCTTGTGCGTGCACATTTGGAGGTCGCGGACCTTCTTGATATGCAGCATCTTTCGCTCCTTCAGGCCGAGTATCGGCTTGAGGGCGAAGCCTCGCCTCGTGTGCAAGCGCGCGTTCGGCTTCCTCTCCACCTTGAATGTCGTCACGCACTCGCCCTGCGTGAAATTCTCCATCGTCTCGAAGAAGCCGTCGTCGCGCCAGCCGTCTTTGAAGTTCACGCCGACGTTCAGCTGGCCGACGATCAGGCGGATCATGTCCAGCTCGCGCGGCTGTATGTTCTCGTTCACCAGCAGACTCTCCAGGCCCTTCTCGTTGAACTTGATCTCGAACTGGTCCTCGTTAATCTCGTACGCCTCCTGCCGGCTCACCGGGCCGACTGGCACCGCCGTGCCCGTCGGCTCCAGGCTGTCCGCTACGAAGCTGTTCGCCACGGAGTCCTTGAAGCGGCAGCTCAGCGAGTTCGAGTCGGTCTTCGGCTGGCAGATCAGCTGCGACTCCAGGTTCAGCCGGACGCTGCCGTAGATGCCCTCCTCCGGGACTGCCGTGGAGTTCACCTGGACCTGGAACACGTACTCCGGCCCATGTTCCCACGGTTTGTCCACGGTGACGTGCGCCACTGGAAAAAGGAAGCATCTCTCTCGTATGTATACGTGTGTGCGCCCGGCGAGTCGTCGTTGCTCGCGGGAACAAGAGCTGCTCGAGTGGTCGGTTACGTTGAATGAGAGCTGATTAGAGCGGCGAAGGTGTGACGTCAAGTGAACGCGCTACGTTAAGCCAGTATCAGACTGGGTATTGTGGATCAAGGATTGCGGGTTTAGGACGAGAACTCGAGCAAGATCGGAACCTGGGAACGGAGGTGGAGGAATTGACCGACTCGTGGAACCGTGTGATCTCTGATCCAATCTCTAATCCGCAATCATCAATCTCTCTAACGCGCAGGATACATCGGACGCTTCCGGGCATCTCGACTACGTTGATAATGTCGTTGCTCCCGAGAAAGAAAGAACGAAACCTTCGAACGTCGCAGTGGATCGCACCGTCGTTCTGACACGGGGCTTTAAAGTGCCCTCGACTGTCCGTGTGTGCGCGCGTGTGAGTACACGTGGACGCGTGTGACTTTTCGAACGAATCGTTCGCACGATCGCGGCCGCTTCGGTATCGATTTGACATCGCGCGACGTGATGGGTACTTACGGACGTCACCCAGCCCCGCGCACGGCTAAATCGGGGCGATTTATCGGGGTGATCGAAGCGGCGCGATCGATCGATCCGAGAGAGCCTCGGTCTCGTCAACTAACACGGCGATCCCGAGCGCGCTTACCTAGGAAGAACGGTATCACTACCACGTTCATGGTGACACCGTGCAACGTTGATCTACTTTAATGGAGTTACTGATGTTCGAGCGGCTCTTATACCGCGGCTAAACTGCACTACTGACCTCTTCTTACGATTAGCGGGCTCCAATTTACCGTACTCCCGTTTGCGACACGGGAAACCGAGGCAGCGCGGCGCGAGGATAACGTTCCCGCGGGATCGACGGGACGTGGAGGAGATAGAGAGGTTCGCTGGAGAATATAAGAATTCGGGCACGCTCTCGTCGGTTTATTCGTGAAAAGATGCTACATATATCGTCGACCTCGTCGGCCGACGTCTCGTCGGTGAATGGAGCGGTTAAGGTGAACACCTTGTTACAGTTCAGGCGGCTGCTTCAAGTGCGGATCGTTAAATCTCGTTGTCGTTATGTACGCTGAATAACAGTTTTATTTTATTCGTTTTATCGTCGGTCGGTCGAAGCCTCCAGTCCAGTTGCACCGATATTAACTTAAGAGTAACCATCTCCACGACAGATCCTACCGCCTTCTTCTCCTTGTTGTAAAATTTGAACGAATTCTCCGTCATAGACTCGAAGGTGCCGTTAGACACCATCATTACGCTTTGCGACTTGTCCTGCAACACGCGAATGGGCCTGAAATTACGCTCACCCGTGACAATTCGGGATATTCCTCTGTTCGTCGTCTACGTGATCGATCGAGACTTCACTGAGAGAAAAGTACCTGATTGATTTCACTGAAATTACGTGCGGTTACTTTCCGGTCATATTTTTCTATTCTAAATGAAAGGCGGGGCGGCAGCATCAAAGCTGTTTCAATCGGCCAACCTGGATTTTAGTAGCATACTTACAAAAATGTTTTCCATTTTAAATAATTATATTCTAAATGAATAAATATATAAATAAGTAAAGAAATATATACATATGTATATGTAGAAATATATACATATATATATATATATGATTATTCACCGTGCAGTTATATAATCATAGAGATACTTTTTCTCATTGAATTAAATTTTCCTGCTGGAAGCTCCGTTGGAAGCTCCAACGACTACGGGAACGCTGAAAAACGATGCTCTAATCTCGTGATCTGAGTAATACGTACGATGATCTCTTTGACGCTCGACGTCGGCACGAATTCGGGCCAGAATCTCGCGGCGAAGATATAAGAGGCGAGCCATTTGCAGCCGTCGACGCTCCTACTTTTAGTGATCATCGTCGCATTGCTATTGTGGAACTTAACATTAACGAGGGGCAATGACAGGTTGTTGTCCACCCACGGGGGATGCTCTATGATCTTGTATTTCGTCGGGCAATAGCCCACGGTGGAATTTTCCATCGTCGTGAAATGATTGTCAGTGGTGTTGACGTCGACACCGAGGCTCATCAGATTCGCGATCATCCGGTACACGTTCATCATCCGCATCAACGCCATGTTGTTCTTCATGACGTGAGCGCCGTAAGCGACGATTCTTTCTTTGTCGAATAGGACGTAGAAGGGTATACCGGGCTTGTCGAAGGACTCGAGCCTGATGTGTCTGCTTGGACGCGAAGCCCCGAAGGAAGGCACGTCGTTTGACGGCAACGGTTTCATCAAGTTGTACTTCTCCGTACGACATATCATTGCATTCGACAGATGCGTACGACAGATCAGCTGGAGCGACAAACGGGTGTTGATCGTTTCCTCCTCCTGGACGTCGAAGTGCTCCTGTGGTTTTCGGAAGAACGTTGTCTTTATGTTCACATCAAAAGTGTGCACAGGACCGCTAGGTTCTTGGAACGCTGGGAAAAATCAGAAACGCGACGACACTCGTTATCAAACGATACTGCTCGTTTTTTTTTTCACTTGCTTACACTCGTTTCGCTTTTCCCCTCCGTTTCCGCTTTTTACTCGCGAACGCGCCACCTGCCGATGCCCGACGATGAGGCGGTTTCGTCGCGACGTTACGCCACACCTTGCAACTTTCGTACCTCTGCATACTTTCGTACATCGCGCGCGTTCGCCCGGGAGATGTCCACGAGGACACAGCGCTCTCACTGAAATTTCTCCGAGCGAAATTCCGTCCGGAAAGTAAGGCGAAACTTTTCGCTCCCTGCTGAGCGAGACTTCGGCACTCGAGAGAGAAATTTCGGCAGCGCCGAGCGCTTCGGCGTGAAATATATATCGCACCGGGGCGACCGGAGGCGACGCGAGTGACGATGTGGGAGATGGCGCATTAAGATTTCCACGCGTTAGCTTTTAATCTGTCCTTCGCGCTTGATCGCTGACACTGGCAATAAGCGCTGATGAATCTCAATCGAGTAATCGAGGAGACCTAACTGACCTAGGAGAAACGGCACTATAACGTAAGTAATCATGCCGATCTTCTGCTACCCTCCGGATGTCGCGGTTTCGTCTCCTCGAAGGCGCTTTTAGGCGACCGAGCGATTCGATGAGTCTCCTGGATAAGTTCGCTCGATGAACTTGCTGGAGATCGGGTCGATCGTTAAGCCGGCTGCAAAAGCGATAATTGAGAAATTTCGGAAAGAATATTGATAAAGAAAGAAGTAAGAACTCGGGTGAATGCGTTGATTTTCGACACGTCGAAGGCGTTGCTTACGTTCTCGTTGATGTCCGTCTTGTGCGAGTCGAGGAAGCGTTCTCGTTGTTAAGATTATTCCAAATACGACGGACGTTGCATCTTCTCGCGAATATAAGTACACACGTGTGACTCTCTTCTCACCTTGTGTCCCGTGTTGTCAAACAATGTATCGCAGACTGAGTGTCACGATCGCGATCTCCGCTCCGCGTCCTATCCGGAAGACGACCGTTAATCTTACGGACGACAGCATTGGTTGTTGTTGGAATTTTGCGTCTCAAGTTATACGAAGCGCAAATAACACGTAGAAAAAAGAATATAGACAAAGCACATTGTATAGAGGAGATTAATAATAATATACGCGCAATGTCGGGAAAAAAATTCAAAAGGATCGTCGGCGGCTGCGTCATACAGTCTCGCGAGAGCTCGTGCAATAATGATGGGAGAATTTGTAGCTTCGAGTAAGAACCGTGTAAAACTAATTGCAGTAATCGTAATCATAAGACGTGAACTTTAGCCGAAGAAAGAATCAATCAGTATATTGCTTTAGGTTTATGCATTCCAAAAGACGTTGAAAACAAAGATAAATTGATTTCACGTAGAGATAACTAGGATTTCAGTCTGTTGAAATCGAATTATATCCGCTTGGGACTAAATTTATCATCATTTTTATCGTCTTTTCACCTTAAGATGAATAGATCTTCCATTTGGTTTCCACTGACTGACTGACATTGTCTCGTGGATCTTAAGATTACGTCTTATGATTACAGTTGCGGCAATTTGCGTGCCTAAAAGATCCACGAGACAATGCTAATAGAAATCAAAACACGCGTAAGATGAATCTAATCGCGATCGATATTCCGATTTCTCGCCTCAGCACGGAGCACACGTGCATCGCCGAACGCATCTCGTCGCTCGCATCGCTCAAGTCATCGCGATGACCTTGGAGGCCAATAAATGCGACGCGCACCGGCGGTCCAGGTACTTTGCTTAATTACGACACGACCAAGCAAAGCAAAAACGGAGACGATGGTGTGGCGAACGCGCACGTCCGGAAAACGCGTTTCTTCCTCCGCGAGTTGCCGAACTGAAAGCACATCCGATGAATATCGCCGACTCCGTGAAGAAAAGACGGCGAATCGGCTCGACCGAGGCAAGGAGACGACTCTGAACGTCGAAAGGCTGAAATGGGGAAAAGCGCTTTCTCGTAAAATTCGCTCGAAAAAAACGCGCGTGGAAAAGCGGATGATATCCGAATGAACCTTGGAAGTGGCATTTATCTCGAGGAACGAGGGGCGTAATTTTGCCATTAACACGAAGATGGGACACAACGATCTCGTCCGCGGTGAATTAAATTAGGTAACGCGGATGATTGCGGCGATAGAACGTGTGACATAAGCTGCTGTTTTTCTCTTCTTTTTTCGCAGATCCATTTATTCATAGGTCTGAGACAACGAACGTGAGAGATTAGGTATCAAGTAAAACTACAGTAAAATAACAGAGCCATAACAAAAGTATACATGTCGTTTTTCACTATTTTATACGTCTATTAAAATGTATTAAAATATATATAGACTGGTACATCCGCTATCTGTTATTCAGTGATCCACATTGTGCAGAATTGAATAGACAAAAAAGTCGTTCGGTCATTTGGTGTCAGTCATCGTTCGCGATGTGCAACTCACGCACATGTTGTTCAGTCAACGAGGGAGATGCAAGAAAAAAGGTATACACCGTGCAACAATTTACGCGTGGGTGATACCACCGGTCGTCAATAATTGTTATTGGGAGACACTACCATTTCCACAGCATTTTCATCGTTCATCCAATATTTGTCAATTGCGCATATTATCCGATACGACTTTAGCGTAAGACTAAGCGACTCTTTCGCAACTCCTATCAGTGCTGTTCCCTCCGACGTTTTCTGGTAAAAATCAACTCTGTTTGTCATTTTGGACTGGAAGCCATTCTTATGCAATGTCATGACGTTATTCGATTGTACCTGCAATACGCAAATGCAACCAACATTACACACACACACACGTGTATATATATATATATATATATATATATATATATATATATATATAAGGAACGAAATAATTTATTCAGCGCACTGAATCAACGTGCCGGCGACATTGCTTTCTTATCATCACTGAGTTATTCCAAACCAAGCTCTTCCGCTTCGATAAGAACATGAATTAAAGAGCGTTGAATCTCTTACAATTTCATTATTAAATAAAATATTGTACATGATATCGATAAATATTATAAATAGAATCATGTACTTATCAGGACAGGACGTCCAAAATTTTTCTTTCAATCGCTCGGGTGAAAGTAGACCGGTAGAAAGTTAAACTTTTACAGAAAAGTCCTCCACTATTTAGCAAATAACTACGCTAAATTTCGAATTATTAATGATTGAAAATGATTATGTACAGTATGTCGGCGTGAACATTAAATTTTGTCTTAATTTAGGCAAAACTCCTACTGAAATGTTTGAAATGATTTAAACTGTTTATGGCAGTGAAGCCATGAGCCGCAAGAATGTTTCCAAGTGGTTTGCAAGATTTTATAATAGCGGTTATGATTCGACTCAAGACATTCAAAAAGTTTCGACCGAGTTTCTAAAAGCGATTCCGACGGAGGATTTTAAGGACTGCTTCAAAAAGTTTTACGATCGTTTCCAGCGGTATACTTATTTACACGGAGTCTATTTTGAATAATCAATAATAAAAACAAAACACAAATAACGCCTTATGTTTCATTTGACACTAGTCACCTTTTCACTGAAATATACTGTGTACATGGAAAAAACAAATTTGCTAGAACAACAAATTGTTAACATAGTTTGATTGAACGGCAGAAAGATTTGTTAAGAACATTAACTGCCATTTGCTGGATATATGGACAGCAAAATAATTTGGTTATGCCAACTAAATTTTATTGCTGTCACAAAGACGTTTTACTACACCAGCGAAATTATTTTTTCCGTTTAACAAATTTGTCTGCTGTCACTATATTAACAACTATATTAATAGTTTGCTGTTCTGGCAAAACTTGTTTTCTCCGTGTATGATTGCATGCTTTTGCTCAGATTAAACTCGTTCTACCTGCACACGGTCGTTTTTTTCAGAACTTTCCGGATACTCTGTATAAAAAATATACAATAGATATATACATAGATACGTACGATTCTGTAGGACTCGGTGTGTTTGAACATTAATTCGGGCCAGAATCTTATGGAGAAGACGTAGTTGGACATCATAACGCAATCCGTGTCGATTCTTTTCTGTTTAGTAATGACCACCGCGTCGTCCGAGCTGAATTGCAAATTGGACAAAGATATCAAATGGAAATTTCCGCTCATATTCATCGATCGTCGTTCTAAATTGTAAGTAACATTGCAATAGCCGACGGGGTCTTGTTCTATTGGGCAGCATGCGTCTTTTTTATAGTTGCCGACGCTCAACGGACTCGTGATCCACCGGTACACGTTCATCATCTTTATTGTCACCTCGTCGTTCTTCTCGACGACGTAACTGACGATCCCGTTTGCGTCGAATCGGATCTCGAAAGGAAAGCTATCGCCATCCAAGTCTTTGGGACTTATGAGCTTGCTCGAGTCCACTTGAACACACACCGGAGCAAGCTCCGGCATCGGATACAAGTTCCTCAAGGTCCCAACGCGACACACTATTCTGTCCGCCAGCTTGGTCAGGCACTTGAGGTCGAGGAACAAATTGGTGGTTTTCGCAGGAGAAGGTTTATTGTTGAAATTCGACATCTCGAACGACGTATCTATCTTCACCTCGTACGTGTACTCGAGATCAACCCTTTCGGGGGTCGGGACTGTGAATAAACCTGGCGAGAAACCATCGTGGTAATATTAAAATTAGGACGAAATTAACTTTGGCGTTCCTTTATCCTCCCCCGTGCTTCCTTCGTGCGAGTACGCGATACGAACGTTCGGGATCTTCTCGTACTGTTACGCGAAGTTGTATTATTTTATATTACGTAATATTTTTTTGTACATTTGTGCATTGTTCAGCATTTAGCTTTTCGAACGACGAATTTCGTGAATAACATATTAATCTGTGCAACGCGGGTGAAAATTGGCGCCGGCGACAAACGGTTTTAACCCATGCAGAACGGAAAATGACGTCAAAATGATGAAAAAATGATGGAAAATTGAGTCTTTGTAGTCATTTCCCCGTCATTTTAATGTTATCGTGATTTTCTACCTAGAAATCAAATAACTGGAGGTGTTACTCACCTAGGAGAAACGGCACTATAATTTCCATTGCTATCTCTTACTGTCGCCCGGATATACCCAAGATTTCTTCCTTCAAAGCGTTTTCGTGCGATCTATGCGTCAAGTTGGACGGAACGATCTACCAGCACGTTGTCCCAAGCTATTGAAATCACGAACTAAATTATTTTGGTCGATGTAATGAGAGTTGAAGAAACGCATAGAATAGGCAGCTAAATTTCAAAAGACAAACTCGAAATTTTTAAGATAAACTTGATAAAGGGAAGGGAAAGTATTTGATGTATCGAAGAAAACCTTTCTCCTTTCTCCTTAACTTATCGTTAAAATAATTACAAGATGTAACGTATTTTATTTTCTCCCGATGAGTATATATGTATAAGACCCTTACTTCCTGTGACCCTTACTTCACGTGTAACAATTATGATCTGAGCTTCGCTGCTGCTCGGTCGTGAATTATATTCCTTTATTTAACTCAAAGACGATCGTTAGTCTACATAACAAAAGTATCCGTGTCCTTTAAATTCTGTCTAGAATTATAATTATAGAAACATTTGACTTTCTTCTGAGTTCTACCGCGACTTCAGTTTTCTTTTATTGAAAAATATATAAAAATCGAGATGCCAAAAACTTAGCCTATTACGCCCAACGACCTTAGTTTCTCGTTACGATGGCGACTTGTAATGGAGACTTGGAAACTAAAAGTCAACATCGCACACCCAAGAGATATGACGCAAATTTTCCTCAATTAGCATTTATAGACCATTTAACGTAGACGCATTATCAAGAATATTTATAATCGATCGCTACGTAATTAAATAAAGTAAAACCATATATCGAGAAATATTCGATCCATGTCCGAACGTTTCGTTCAATTTTATTTAATTATCGAGATATTAATTACGAAAAACTTAACACTTACTCACGGACTGCCTGGCGCCACTTAGCGGAAACAAGCAGAAACTTTTCACTCCGGAGGGGTTTGAATCTCGGCTAAATATGATTCGAGTTTAAAAAAGGTATGTGCGATGTCGATTTCGATAATTAATTAAGAATTAAGTAAAAGTAAGAGAAGAAACATTTAATTATTTAGACAGTTATTAATTTTATTCGTAAGAAACTGCTACATATTGTTCCTCAGTCATCGAAGGTCATGAAACGACATATACTGTGTAACAATTTATATAGTTGGCTACCACAAGTTATTAAGCTATGTCTTCGATAAACGTTTTTAACAGACGAACATCGTCCTGTTCAGTCCAGTCTTTATTTTATTGAATGCAAAGACATGGTTTGCAGACACCTCCCCAGATAGGATATTAATTTAAGATTAATGACCTCTGTAACGTATCCGATCTCGTTCTTATGCTTGTTGCATAAGTTGAACACGTTCTCAGAGAGAAACTTTAACGAATAGATTGACAGATTATTAGTCGACTTTACCTGCAACACACAAGTACGACCAACATTTCACTTATACGTAATAACTGAAACATTTTTTTTCCCAAAGATCATCCTTAGCATTAGTAATTATATTAATGGATGAAATATTCATAAGAAAGGTAAAAAAAAAGAAAAGATAAAGCATAAGCGCACGCAAAATAAATATAACAATCTTTGATTAAAACTTATTCTAAACTATACTAAACAAAAAGCTATCATATAACTAGATTAAATTACTAAACTAATTTCAATCTAACATGAACATAAGGGAGTAAATCATTTAGTCTAAGATCATTTTCGACAGAAGGAAACAGCAAACGAAAGGTAGTATACTACTATACCGTCATATAGTAAATTACATATATGAATCCTAATAATTATTAACGATAAATATATATAGATTTCTTAAACTTAAAAGGAAGATCTCATTTCGAAAATGCAGATTGTACAATAATAAAAAGGAACAATCAGATTCTAATAACTAACGGATTGCTTGGCGCCATTTAGTGGAGATAGCAGAAACTTTTCACCAAAAGGGTTTGAGTCTCGACTAAACAATGATTCTACTTTAAGAGCGACGTCAATGCGCGACGTCAATTTTAATAATTAATTAAGAATTAAGTGAGAATAAAGATATCTAATAATTCAAGTAGTCATTAATTTTATTTATAAGAAACTGTTACATATCGTTCTTTGGTCACTGAAGGGCATAAAATGAAAAAAATGGCATATGCCGTTGTAATGTAACAATTTATGTAGTTGGCTACCACAAGTTATTAAACGATATCGACATTCGTACTTAATAACACAATCCTGTCCAGTCCAGTCTTCATTTTATCAAATGCAAAAACTTGATTTGCAGGCAGTTCCTGGTAAGCTCTTAATTTAAGATTAATGATATCTGTAACATATCCGATCACGTTCTTATGCTCATCGTATAAGTTGAACACGTTCTTAGATAGAGACTTTATGCCGCGCGAACACATTGACAGACTATTAGTCGATTTTACCTGTAACACACGAATATGGCCGAAATTTCACTTACACGTAATAACTGAAGCATTTTCTTTTTTAAAGGATCGTGTCGTCTTTTATCAAATCTCTATCGTATCATTCTGATTCGAGTCCTCTCGATTCGATAACGCCAGGTAGAACAGAAAATCACGATTACGTCAAGATAACGTCTAATTGACGAGAAAATGGCTATAAAAGCTCACGTTCATTATTTTCTCATTATTTTAATGTCATTTTGGCATCATCGTGATTTTATGTTCTACCTAGGACGCGCGATTCAGTTTAATCGATACGTACCAAACCTTCGGACACGGTCGTTGTAGGAACATACTCTGACCAAAATCTCACCGAGAAGGAATAATTCTCTAGCATAACGCAATCCGTGATATTTCTCTGTTTGGTGATAACTACCGTTTCCTTCTCGATGTCAAAATCAACGAAGGACGTTAAGTTGATATTGAGGTTGGGCCACTGCCATGTCACTGTCGGTTCTCGCCGGATCTTGTATTCCGTAGAACAGCGACCAATGTGAGATCGTTCCATGTAAACGAACAAATTCTGGTTGTCCTGCGCTTTAACGTCAACTCCGATATTCAACTCGTTCCCGATCATTCGATACACATTCATCAGTCGTGCGGGTATCGAGTTAAACTCGATGTAATAACCGCCGATCCCCTCACGGAAGAACGCGATTTCGAAGGGTGGGCTGTCACGGGAGAAGTCAAGGAAGTCGATGGTTTTATTCTCATAATTAAGTCGCCTTGGCATCGGACGGACCGTTTCTATATTATTGTAATTCCCTATGTGACACATTATGCGTGTGGCATTAAACGTCCCGCTTTGACATATCAGGTCGATCGCAAACTGTGCTGTGACGTTTTTAGCTGTGCGGCAGGGGGAGGAGAACTTGGATGTCACTTCCACCTGGAAGACGTACACGAAATGCTCTTCGTTTACAGGGTGTTTAGATGTCACTATCATTCCTGGAACAGACAGATCGCATCATATCTATTTTTTTTTCTGCCTTATTACATTTTCCCTTTATTTCTCTCTATACGTTTCCCGCCATCCATTTTCCTTTTTGCACATTGCGGGCGAAATTGGAATAGTCTGGAACGCTTTGTGAATAATTTTGTTTATAATTATTTACATTTCTTATAATTTAGTTTACATTTCTTATAATTCAAAACAGCATTTAAAGGACAGTGAATGCTTTTGTTTTTTGAGACTAACAGTCGTCCTTGAGCAGAATACAGGAAAATAATTTATGATCGAGCAGCAATAAAGCTCAGATCGTAATATGTAATAGTAGGAAGTAAGAAGAGCCTTATGAACATGTACTCTCATCGTCGAAAAATAAATAATAATATTTATTAATTTTATTGAAGGGGATCCTTGGGAAACGTGAGCCGAAACTCATAAAATATATGAACTTTGTTTATATATTTGTTAATGTAAATCTATCATGCACGGATATCTCTAGCCGGATCTTCCTTTATTTTCCTTGGTCTTATTTTTTTATTCGCAAATACGTAAAAATGACGTTAAAATGAGAAAAAAATAATCGAAGAATGAATTTTATAGTCGTTTTCTCGTTATTTTCACGTCATCGTCATTTTCTGTTGTATCTGGGTGTATCCTAAGTAGAACAACAAGTGACGATGACTTCATAATGATGACTAATGACAAGAAAATGATTATAAAAACTTATTTTTCGATTATTTTGTCTTCATTCGGACGTTATTGTCATTTTCTGTTCTACTTGGATATATTGCGCTTCATAACCCGCGAGATGCGATCTGTAATTTTCTTGTACTATTCTGGGAAGTTGTACTATTTTATGTTCTGTACTGTTGGTGAACGTTGATACTAGCAATGACAAGTGATTTTAATCGAATAACGGAGACGTAACTCACCTAATAAAAACGGCACTACAGTAAGAACGGCCATCTTCTATTATTCTCAGTTTTACGTTAACTTTTAGTTTTCTATTGGTCTAGAAATTCGGCTGAAATTTGAGAAATAAACTCGTTCAAGAAAAGGATAAGTATTAGATATATCGAAGATGTGTTGATGCTGCTTCTCGTTCTCATCAACGTCTGTATCGCGAAGCGCGAGAAAGAATTTTCATCGTTAAAGTAATTCCATAATTAATATAATGTATTTTTGAATTTTGGGATTATATGTGTGTTTCTTCTCACCTTGTAATTTGCGTTTTGCAATCGCTCGATCGCAAATTTAATTGCTCTGTCTTGTTCGAAGGCAACCGTTGGATTGAGAAAAGCATCCGTCAACCCAACATTTATAAATTCTCATCATTTATAAATTCTGTATGGACTTGTAAGAAATGTAAATTCAAGCCATACGTACAAGAACTATGATGATGATTAATAATAATAATAAATAATAAACACACAATATATAAAAAAAAACCGACACACGATATCAATACAGGAGAGATTATCCATGATAATAGAAGGGGAATTTTTTTGCTGCAGGTAACAAATAATTCCATATAATAAGTAATTTCTGATTTTTCAGATAAAATGAGACAATTATAATGTTGTTGTAATTTTATGAGACAATGAAGGAAGGAAGGCAAAAAATTAACATTGCACACACGTGGTTTTATAAAAAAAAGTTACATAGAAATACAGTCGCTCCAGTTTTACTTGAATAAATTCAAAA